CTAGCTGTGCCCCCGCCAATCAGGGGGGGCAGGAAGGGGAGGCACAGTGTGCAGCTCACATCCTGCTTAATGAGGCCTCATTAGTGGGGTCCAGCTGTTTGCAGCAGGCACGCTCCATCAGGCAGAGCTGCCCTCCCTGCGGGATTCATCCTGCCCACGCAGCCCCTGGCTCCTTCTCACACCGCAGCACTGGCCGCATTCCCTCGCTGTCCCTCATGTGCTGGCTTGTTCCCATGCCCCCAGCCCCACACAGATGTTCCTGCCCCATTTCCATCACAGGGATGCCATTCGGCCTTGCACCCCGACCCCACGTGTGTGGGGGTCCCAGGGTATGCCTGGGACCTGGCACAGCCCAACATGGGGACAAGGCACTGTGACAAGCCCGCCCGGTGGCACAGCCCCAGCCTGCTCCCACGCCACCTCATCCAGACGTCATCCAACATCATGGGGTCTCTGCAGCCATCATCACAAGGTCACTGCCCCGTGGGGGGACCATCTGCCTGCTAAGAGGGCTGCACCACAAGTCTCCCTATCACCCAGGCACTCCACAGCCCCACTGCTCAACCCTCAGCCCCACACTGTCCATGGTGGGCCGGGATCCTCAGCAGCGCACCATGTCTCTCAGGGAGCCCCACGGCGATGCCCAAGCTGGTCACAGCCCTGCGCCATGGCTGGGAAGCACAGCCAAGGCAGCAGCAAGGCGTGATGGTGTGCTGAAGGCAGGGGGACGGGCGGGCTCTTTCAGGAGACCATCTGCGGTCCGGGCAGTGGCAGCTGCAGGCGCACACGTGAAGGGCACACGTGTGCGGGGCGGGCGCTCGGCTCCCTGCACTGCACCCTGTGCTTGCCCCATCCCCCCATCCTGCTTCGGATGCTCCCAGGCCATGGACAGCCCCTGGTGCCAGCCCTGGTGGAAGGGACAGAGCAACTCTGCCAAGCCCTCCACACGCAGCTGAGCATTCCCTGCAAGGTGCCCACAAGAGCAACCCTGTCTCTGCTGTGAAGCCGTATGCAGACCAGCTTTGTGCCATCACACACGTCCTTCTCTGGTCACAGTGTCCCCCTCACCCCATACAGCATTCCTCAGTCAGTTGTCACCAACACATCCCCATGCTGAGCCACAGGCATGGCATGTCATGGCAAGAGCAGATACCTGGTGGTACCTGCAGCCCTGTGTCAGCAATGCCAAGCATTGTACCAGCTGATAGGTACCAGCAATCAGGGTCCTCCTGAGCCCATAGCTCCTGCTCACCTCGACCCCAAACCAGGTACCAAGGGTAAGGACAGTGCCTGGGGACCAACCAGGTGCCACCATCCCTTAGCCAGGCACTCCGCATTGGAGCTGCCTTCCTCCGGCCCCATTCTCATGGCACGGACACGATTCTCCTGGGGCGCTCAGGCAGAAAAATCCCCCGCCGGCCCCCCCACTGCTGCCCCTTGTTATTCCGGGAAGGGCTCCCGCAGCCAAGAGCCACTTCCGCGGCTCCACACGCTGCTGGCCCCCCTGCTTGGGGCTGGCGGCACTGCGCTGCTGGGGGTGTCTGGGATGGGCAGGGCCCCTCCAGTTCCATAACCCCAAGGAGCATGGTGCCAGCCATGCCCCCAAAATGTGGGATGAGAGATGGCAGGAGCCCACCTGAGCCACATGCCCCCACCCCCAGCCCAAATGCTGCCTGGCCATGCCAGCAAAGCTGCACTGCAAGTCAGGAGCCACTGGCATGGCTGGAGCTTAAACAAAGTGCTCCAGCAAGAACAAAACAAAATGTCCTTAAATGACAGCCGAGGAGAGGCTGTCACCCCCCTGTTTGGCCACACAGGGACTGAACCAGCTGCTAGAGCTGCCCTGCATCCTACTGCCTGTTGAGCACCCACTACCCAACAGCATGACATTCCTGTTGTTCCAGGACTGACGAGTAAGCACAGACCCCAACCCACAGCTGGTGAAACTTAGGCACTGCTGTATATCCTGCAACATGGGTATGGAGAGCTTCAGCCATCTCTGTTACCCTGTCCCCCCCCCAGGGTGGGCACCCTGAGCCCCATCATGCACACTCCAACCCCGGAGGCTGTGCATGGTATGGACACAACAGCAGGATTGTGCCGTGGGACCCCGTCCAGTCACGAGAGTTGCACCTGCTGGCAGGGATTAGAGGGCAGAGCCGGGGCAGCGCTTTGCCAGGCTGTTTGCACAGTGCTGGAGGCAGGCCAAGGAGATTAGCTCCCTTCCCCAATGACCCAGAAAGCTCTGCAGCCAAGGTCCTGTCCTGTAGCACCTCACCCCAGGGCGCTCACAGCTGGTCCAGCGCAGGGATGCTCTGGCAGCAGGGATGCTCCCATGCTCTCTGTTATCTTCCCAGTACTGCACTCTTCATCTGCCCAGCTAGGGATGCCCCTTGCTTCACAAATAGGGGAACAGTGCCTGTGGGACAAGGCTGCCAGCACAGCATGTGCCATGCCCTGTGGTCACCCCTCTGTCCCCAGCACACCCTGGCCCTGAGGTGAGCTGTGCAAAGACTTGCCAGCAGTGAGTCAAAGATTGATCTGGAGCAGGTGGGTGCTCCTGGTGCCAGGCTCACTCCACTGTGTTACTGGGGCTGCTCCACTGTGGGCAAGGGACACAGCAGTGGCACAGATGCACAGGGCTTGTGGCAAATGTCACCCACAGGCAGGAGCACCGATGCAGCACAACAAGGAACAGCAGAGTCCTGACTGAGCTTCGTGATGTCTTACGCATCTCTCTGTTTCTAGCTGTGGCACAGCAGGAGGAGAACTGGGGTCCTGCTGAGGGGCCACACTGGGACAAGCAGCATGGAGCCACACACACACGCGCTGGAAGTGCCTGCTGGAGCACGCCGCTCCCCTGGCTCTGGGCTTCCCAGGGAAGTGCTGGCTGTGGGCCCTCTGGCTGGAGCGTGCAGCTATTTCGGGAAGCCCCCCGGGAAGGGGAGGGCTCCGCGATCATGTTGGCACTGCAGCTCGATTCTCATCAATTGTGGAAAAGGCAGAAGCCCAGCCCAGCGTGCGCTCACCTGCCAGATGCAGGATGCTCGGGGCAGCAGAGCTCCAGCTCCCTGTCCTCATAATCAGGCAGGGACAGCAGTGACGGGCATGGGGCCACTGCACCGCACACATCTGCACCCAGACACCAGAGCTGTGCACGGGGCTGAGGATGGAGGATCGGTGCCTAGCTAGACATGGCTCTGCCTACATCCTATCTCATCGTGAGCACTGCCATGCAGGAAGACCAGCAGGGAGGATGCTCAGGGTAACAGTCCCACTCCCTGCTACTGTAGGACCATGTGCCTGGCACAATTCGCTGTGGGTGCTCTTTGCTGGACTCAGAGCACGCACAGCTTTCCCGCCTTCATGCAGAGAGCTGGGGTGGCTGATAAAGCAGCAGAACGCCTGAGCTGGGCGATAGCATCTCCAGGCACAGCGGGACACCACACCCGCAGCCTCAAGCAGCGACCGATCGACCCCCAGCAGCTGCTCCAAGGAGCACCCCCGGCACCAAACTCCATAGGAGCCCTGTTGTCCCACTCCCTCACTCTGGGTCTGTTGCAGGAGCTCCCCGTCCCTGTATCGCAGTACTCACCAGCAGCCCCTCACTGCACTTCTCGGCCATCCCTGGAGGCTGGAGCGCAATGCCAGCTGCCCGCTGCAGGGTCCCCGTCTCTCTGTCAGGCTGGCACTCGCACGCTTCAATCCACTGTCAGAACAAGCTGGGTAGAGGAGGGGAGAGAAAGCAAGAAGGACGTGACTGGTGGGGTGGGCACTTCCCCGCCCCAGGCCCCCCCCCTCCATCTGGAAAGCTGTGTGCCGGGGGGGCTGCCCCAAACCTGACTGCAGGGTAGGCAGGAGCGGGGCTGGGGTCCCTCTTCGCTCTCACCCCTCCAGCCTCTCCAAAACCCCCAGCAGCTCCCAGGTCTTTGGTCTTTCCCAAGAAGCAGTTTAAAGATTTACCCGTTGGGACAGACGACCTTGTGGGCAGCTGGCAGCCAGGTGGGCGCTGGGGGCCCCGCACGCTGTCCCCCAGCAAGAGCCAGAGCCGAAGTGGCTGCGGTGGGTGGCAGCGCCAGGACTGGGTGCTGAGCGGGGCCAGCACGGGGCTCAGCTGCCGCAGAGAACACAGATGGGAACCGATTGCCTTCTGCCCCGGTGCGTCGCGGGCACGTGCAGCACAGGGGGGCCGAGCTGCAGGCTCTGCCGGGACCAGGTGCCGCTGCAGCGGGCGTGGGAGGGGGCTGCAGAGCCGCAGACACTGCTTCAGTCCCATTCTTGGGGTGCTGAGGCTGGGGGGCACCTTGGTCAGACCACCCCAGGTCACTTATCCATGTAACAATGCCGATCTGTGCAGATCTCACATTAGCACCCTGTGCCCTTGCTGGCTGAGAAAGCACCCCAGTCCAGGGGTGCCCGATGGGGGATGAGTGCCCCATACTGCTGCGGGTCTACAGCAATCAGCAGAGGGGCACACGGCCCTGAAGCCATCGAGAGAGAGAATGGATGACAGAGATAAAGGGCAGGAGGCCAGGGGACGTGGAGCAAGCCCCCAGCCCCAGCTGCAGCCCCTCAGGCACAAGCAGGCTGCAGCTCACAGATACCACTTCCAAACCCCTCCTAGGGTGGACAGCATTTCCCTGGGGGGCAAAATACAGTCACTGTATAAGCAGGGCAAGCCCTGCTCTCCATGTGCCATGGGAATCTGCCAGAAGCGGGGGGCCAGTGGATAGATCTCCTCCTCACCGTGCATCTATCACCACAAGCCAAAGGCTGCCCACCCTGCAGCCATGAATGCACCCCGGGAACCCGTCACCTGCCAGTCACCAGAAAGGGCCCATGGGAAGGGCTGCCACTCCCCCAGGGGTCTGCCAGGCCCCGATAAGGCTGAGATGTGTGCCTGTGCAGACGCTGCAGTTTGCTGCCGAGCACCCCGCTAGGCAGGCCGGCAGGGATGCAGGTCTCAGGGATGCTAACGTGCCGCATCCTCTGGGCACAGGATGACCCAGGATGCTGTGACAGCCCGGAGCGCCCATATCCCGAGACGGAATGGTGTCACACGGGGTCACATCGTGTCACCGCAGAACTCGGGTCACTCTCCCACGGGATGTGGCACCCGGGGGACCCAGCACAGCCGCTGCCACCTGCGAAGAGCATCCCCATCGCTGCCGGGACCCAACGGCGGAGTACAGAGGCCGGCTCGCCCCGCACCCCTCATCGAGCCCCGGCCGCGATGCGATGCGCCCGGTGCGGCACGGCGGCGGCGGGGGGGGCGCCCGGTTACATCAGCCGCCACGTGGTGGCTGCTCCGCCGTTCCGCCGCCCCGCCCCGGCACATGCCCGTGGAAAATTACCGCCGGCCCCCCGGCCCCGCCACCGGGCCGGTCAGCCCCGCTCCCCGCCGCCCCCCCTCCGGTCCTCGGGCACCGCGCAGGGCGGCCCCGCGCCGCCCCTGCTCCGGGAAAGCAACAGATGCGGGACCGCCCCGCATCCCGCTGCCGCTATCCCGACGCCGGGGCCGCTCCCGGTACCGATCACGGTGCCCCCACCCCGCTCGGCCCCTCCGCCTCCCCCGGCCCCACGGCTTCCCCCGGCCCGACCGCCGCCCCCGGCCCCGCAACCGCCGGAGCGCCGCGCCGGCACAACCCCGCGCTCCCATCGCGGTTCTCCCGCTGCCACCGGGCCGAACCGAGCAACCGATGCCGGAGGTGCGCACCCTTACCGTGCCCATGCCGCCGCCCGGCCCTTCCCGCCGCACCGGGTGGGCCCACGGAGGCGCCGCCGCGCCGCGCCCGGACAGCAGCCGGTACCGATACCGGTGAACGCCAGGCCCAGCGCCCAGTGCCACCGCCGGTGCTGCCGAGTTAATGAAAGTTTGGAGGTCGGTGGGGGCTGGCACCGCCTCTCGCCCCCGCCGCCGCGCTCCGCCTCCCGGCGCCTCCGCGCTCCCCAGCGGTTTGCTCCGGTACCGGCACCGGGGGCAGCGGGGGCACTGGGCACGCATAAACACGAGTGCACGCCCATGCACAACAATGCACATACATGTAGAAGCATGCACACGCGTGCACATGCAGCCCACAGGCTCGTGGGCCCCACGCAGGCTCACGCACGCAAACGTGGGCATGTGTGGGCCACACAAGCTCAGGCATCCTCAGATGGGGCATGCACACACATGCGTCTGTTCACACCCAGCAGCAGCACGGCACAGCACGGCACACAGGCAATGCTGCACACAGTGTGCACATGCATGGATCCCACACTGCCAGGGCACGGCACTATGATGACACCTAGGAATGGCTGTGGAGCTGGCAGGGATATGTGTAAGCAACGTGACCGTGGTACAGATGTGTGTGCACATACATGTGTACATGTGTCCCCTTTGTGAGTGTCCATGCATATGTCCATGCAGCAATTGTGTGTGCACATCTGTACGTGTGTACTTACGTGTGCATGCGTGTATATGCATCTAGATGCATGCATACTTAAGTGTGCTTCTGCACACATGCAAACCTCTCTGCGCGTGAATACATGTGTGTAGAAGCACATGAGTGTGCACACATGTATCTACTGACAAATCTTTCCCTGTGCATGGGTGCACATGTGTGTGCAGCCAGCACTCGCCCCCGCAGCCCAGGCTCGCCAGATGTTTCCAGTAAGGCATGACGGGTGCGCCTGGGGCCGTCCCTTGCCCGGCCCCTCATAGAGGCCTCCCCTTCCCTTCCCTCCCCTCCTTGACAGCTCCACTTATGCTGGGATGGGTGCCTGCCTCCCAGCACCCTGCCCTTCACCCTGGATCCCACTCGGCTTGCAGGGCCCCATGGAAACCCCCTTGGAAACCTAAAGCCATTTCCTTAAGCCACAGCTGCACCACCCCCACATCCCCATATCCCCACATCCCCACTTCCTCATGTCCCCATTTTCCTACTGGGGAGCATCCCTTACCTGACCTTGCATCGATCTGTGCTATTCCTGCAGGTTGCTTCCTGCTTAAGGAAATCCCCGGCACGGGATGGGGCAGAGGCACAGCATCAATGGGATGTGAGCAGCAATGGGAGGGGGTTCCAGTGTGTCCAGTGTCTACCCAGTGCCCTGTGCCCACATGCTGCTGGGGGCTGCAAGGATGGGAGACAGCGCGTCACTTCGTCAGTGCTTTCGTTTTGCAAGCGCAGCAGAGCCAGACCCACAGCACCCATAGCAGGAAGGGGAAGGCGGCAGTGAAACCGGTGAGTGCTCAGGTCCTCCCACACCCTCACAGCACCTGCGCATGGCTGCTCTGCACCAGACACCGTGGAGCCTGCAGGCAGCGTCGCTCCTGACTGCACTGGGCTTCTAAATGCAGCATCCCACATCTGGCATCCTACGTCCCAAATGCAGCATCCTGTGCCTGTCATCCTGTCTGAAGCAAGACCAAGCTACAGCTCCCCACCCCTGCCCAGTGGTGTGTAGGATGGGTCCAAGCCCTGGCCTCTGCTCACATCCTCTTGGCTCATCGCTCTTCACCAGGCGGGAATTGTCCTCCAAACCCCACTTTCTCCAGGCCCCCACTCCCTCCCACCTTTGCCATCCATCCTCTGGTCTGACTGGTGGTGGGAGTGGCTCCTCTCCTATTTCTTCTCCTCTTCTATCTCCTCTCCTATCTCCTCTCCTTTCTTCTCCTCTCCTCTCCTCCATCTCCATGGGTGCCGTTTCCTGGGGAACTGTGAGTGAATGTGGGCAGACATCCAGAGGGGTGAAAGGTGTGGAGGAAATACCAGCTCTTGGCACCCATCAGCAGGCTGGACTGGCCAAGAGCACAGCAGCTGTTGGAGATTTCCATCACACCAGGCCTGCGGCACAGGGCTAGAGAGATCCCCTAATGCTTGGAGCCATGGTGCATCTGGGAGATTCTGCTTGAGTTTTTGGGTGCCACACATGCAGTGGAACAGAGCACAGCCCATGTGTGCTCAGCACAGAGATGGGCTGTGCATAACTGGGGCTGTATCCCAGCACACTCCCCTGCCATGATGGTCAATCACCAAACCCAACCCCATTTCTTTTCAACCAAGCCTTGGAAAGGGCTCCCAGCTGCCCAGGATGCAGGCTGGTGACCACACTCTGTCATCCTGGTCCCCCAGCTTCCTGGTGGACCCTGAAGAGGGACTGGGCAGTCAAAGAACACACTCTGTCATTGGGGATGGGAGACCCCCTCCCCCCTCCCCCCCCCCGGGGAGTGCAGACCCCGTATGAGGCTGCAGCAGCAGCTGACAAAGCTCTGCAACTGGATGCATCCTCTCCGATGATTACACAGCCCACTCAGCATCATCAGGAAGGACCCAGCTAGAGGGACAGGAGAAGCCCCAGGGAAGACCCTCCTCCTTATTTCTTTCTTCTCATCTTCTATTCCTGCCCTACATGTCCTCCTCATCCTGCCCAGCACATGGAAAAGAGGCACTGGTTTGTGACAGCATGGTCCCATGGCTCCAGCAATGGGATCAGAGCTGCCAGAGAGCATCTGAACCATCCCTGATCTGCCACTTGGTGGGAACACTCCCCTAAAGAAGCTGACATGGGGGGCAATGCCATTACCCTGAGCTGCCACCTTCTCACACCTCAGCTCCGTGTCCTCACTCTGTTACGCTGTGTTTTGCTCCCCTGCCTCGCTTCACCCCGCCTCAGTCTGTGCCAGCAGCTCACCCCCCGGGCGGCTCGATTCAGCCAAGTGCTGCGGTCTGGGCAAGTGCCAGGGCAGGCGAGTGCCGCGGGGCTGGGAGGAAGCACCACGGGCACCCTGACGCCGTTGGTGTCCCCAGCAGCGCAGCCACGGCTCCTGGGGACTTTCCACTCAGTGTCTGACGGTAGCATGGAAAAAACCTTTGCAGAACGTCCAGCCTGCTCCAACAAGCAGGGAGGTGTTTGAGCAACCCCCCGTGACACTCCGGCTTTGATGGTGATGAGAGAAGGAGCCGTCCCACTGTGCTGCCCCGTGCTGCCCTCCCCACCTTGGCAGCACACAACAGCCAGCTTGTGTTTCACTCTGCAGACATGTGCACCCTGCGGGACTGCCCCAAGCGCAGACAAGGGCTGCACTGCTGGGAGCTGAAGTTTGGCTGTGGGTCCCACAGCTATTGTTCCTCCTTCTGCCCAGCTGGAAAGGACAAAGCTGAGCATCACCCACACCAGCTGTGATAATCTGCCTTATACTTGGGACGTGGCTGTTTGCTGGGTGCAGGGTGCTGGGGACCCCCGCAACCCAGAGAAGCAGCCCTGTCCCTGCTACCGCCCGATCTCTGCACTGCAGTAAGCACGACAGCTGGGGTGCCTTGGGCTGCCCAAAATAGCTGTCCCCTCTCCCCCCACTGCCTGGCCGCTGGCAGCTCTCCCAAGACAGCGCCCTGCGGACCTGGAGCAGCTGGAGACGGCTGCTGCCCCGCTGCTGCACTCAGCTCATCAACCCGCTGCTGGCGGTGGGGCACCCCAGGGTGGGATGGATGAGAACTGTGCTGAGGACTGAGCACCAAGAAAGCCCTGCCCCAGTGCACCCATGGGTGCTCTGTCCAGGAGGGTGCGTGAATGCCTGGCAAAGATGCAGCCATGGAGGTTGTTCAGCGGCGCAGGTCTCTGATGATGCCCGTCTCCTCTGCATCCTCGAGGCAGCGAGGAGGAATGCTCCTCCCATGGTGCTCCATTCCGCATGACAGAGGGCTTTCACTTCCCCAAGGGACAGGATAAAGAGCAGATACTCACGCAGCCCTCTCTGCCATGTCATGCCTCTGACCTGTGCTGAAATTCCCTGTGGGGAATTCGGCCAAGAGTGCCTGGGGCTGGAGCACGGTACAGAGCAGGGGGGATTGCAGACACAAAAGGAAGGCTGGGAAGTAGCTTAACTTCCAGTGGTTCTGAAACCCTGTTCCAGAGCGTGTGCTGGCATGGTCCTGCCCAGGAGATCTTCATTCCAGGAGTCAGCGACCTGTGTACCAGTTGCCCTGGGCAGGCTCAGGCCCGTGCTGTGGGTTTCCCCTGGCTGTGGGATAGGCTGGGCCACGTAATGGGAACGAGAGCATGCCTTGAGCTCCCTCTCAGCGCCTGCACGCGTGTGCCTCCCTCTGAGCAGTTCTGCGTGAGCATTCTTCCCTTCTGTGGTATAAGTGATAAACAGAGTCGTTATTTATTTCTTCTAAGAAAATTCTGAAACAGCTGAAGTGACCTGAAGCACAGGTCCGGAGGGGCGGTGGGGCTGCAGCGGGGATGTGCGTGGTCACGTCTCTGCCAGTCTGATCCCACAGGAGGATTGGGGTCCGTGATCCTCCTGGGGCCGGATGCCCGGTGCCCCTGGCGCCGGAGGGCAGCGCAGCAGCCGAGCTCCCTCTGCGGACAGCTTCTGCTCACTGCACCTGATGGACGAGCGGCCGAGCCGGCTTTTTTTCTCCCTTCAGGGCTGGTCACAGCGGATAACATCCAAATGTCCCCACTTTGTGCTGCTGGATGTCCACAAGCATGAAAACAAGTGCCTTTGCCTTGTGCCCAAGGACAAGCACCCTGCGGGGCACGGCCATGCTCTGATCTCTGTGTCCCTCTGGCCAGCCCAGACGATTGGCTTCACAGTTCCTGATGTGACTTGGCAGCAGTAGGCAAACGGGGAACAGAGGGGAACAGCCGGGCTGGGAGGGATGGCCCAGGCTGTGGTTCACCCCCGTTTGCACGGTCCTTGCGGGGTGAGCAAGCAGAGCCCTGTAAGCTGCTCTAGTCTTGAGCTGAGAAAGTGGCACTTTGGGGGGGATTTGGTGAAGGAGGCAGGGATTGTGGGATTGCCTCGTGGCAACCAGACGTTGCCTGCCTAAGATAC